ATATATATATAATATAGTTATTTTTGTATTTTTATCTTTTCTTATAAGTAATCATTTAATTTTTAGGGAATTCTCCTTGATGGACGACAAATAGCAGTAAAAAGACTTTCAAAAAGTTCTATGCAAGGTGCAAATGAGTTCAAGAATGAAGTTTTAGTGATAGCCAAACTTCAACATAGAAATCTTGTGACATTCATTGGTTTTTGTCTTGAAGGACAAAATAAAATACTTATATATGAATATGTGTCAAACAAAAGCCTTGACTATTTTTTATTTGGTATGAAGCTTACTCTTAAACACCTTAATTAAATAAAGTTTATTGATTATATTTGTGCATTACACACACACATATATATGTTTATGTATATACATGTTTCACTTATATACATTTTTTACTTTGACATATAGATTCTCAACGGTCAAAGTTGTTGAATTGGTTTGAACGTTACAATATTATAGAAGGGATTGCCAAAGGAATTCTTTATTTACATGAACTTTCTCGCCTCAAAGTTATACACCGTGATCTCAAACCAAGTAATGTTCTATTAGATGAAAACATGATTCCAAAAATTTCTGATTTTGGTCTAGCTAAAATTGTTGAAATAAATCAAGACCATGAGGGTACAAATAGAATTGTCGGAACATTGTAAGTCTAGAGTTTTTTTTTCCTTGTTATTATTTCATTCTTATTTCCTCATATGATGTGTTTTGGCTAATTTTTTTTTTTTTTACTTTATAGTGGTTATATGTCTCCAGAATATGTAATGTTTGGACAATTTTCAGAGAAATCTGATGTTTTTAGTTTTGGAGTCATGATTCTAGAGATTATTACTGGAAAAAAGAATTTGAGTTCTTATGAACTGCATCGTGTTGCTGATGGCCTCTTAAGTTATGTGAGTATAATAATCTAATAATTTGTCCCTTTGCTAAATTGTTTATATGTTACATTTTCAATATTTACTAATTGTTATAGCCTATTTAAGATTGAATTTTTAATTTATATTGGAATTAATTTTGATTTTTAATTTGACAAATTGTTCTAGGTTTGGAAACAATGGAGGGATCAAACACTATTAAGCATATTAGACCCAAGTATTGAAGAAAATTATTCTAAAATAGAAGTTGTTAAGTGCATTCAAATTGGTTTATTATGTGTTCAACATGATCCTAATGCTAGACCAACAATGTCAACCGTTGTTTCGTATCTTAGTAATTACTCAATTAACTTGCCAACTCCAAAAGAACCTGCATTTTTCTTGCATGGCAGAATGGATCCAACAACATTCCCACAAGAATCAAGTTCCAATCAATTTATCAATAGATACATTCCATTATCTATTAATGAAATGTCTATAAGTGAATTTCTTCCTCGATAATAATTTTTTTTCTTTTGATATTGTTGTTTAAAAAGAATACTAAGTGATGTAATATCTCAATATCTTTCTCGAGAATGAAATGTATAATTCATATGATTTATGTGATAAATATTCCTTTGTTAATTTTTTCTTCATTTTTTTTCTTTATTTTAAGATATTGCATTTGAGATATGAAAAATATATTAAATTTTATTTATAACTTTTTTACTTAGTAATTCGTAATGTCTTGATTCATATCTACTTTAGAGAAGATTAAGAACAATAATATTTTGTAATTCAATTATTGGATAAGCTCAATTTATAAAGAATACTAAGTGATATAATATTTCAATATCTTTCTCAAGAATCAAATGTATAATTTATATAATTTATGGTAAATTAATGTAAAATTACTTGTTAATTTTTTCTCCACTTTTTCTTTATTTTAAGACAGTGCATTTGAGATATGATAAATATATTAAAATTTCTTCATATACTTTTTACTTAGCAATTCGTAATGTCACCATACTAAACAATATATTAAACTAATTTAATGTTATATCATTAATTTAAATTAAGTTTTGGCATAACTAATTTGTATAAGAGTTCAACATCAATTTTTAATTTACTCGATTATATAACTTTTCTCATTTAAGAAAATAATAAAATGTTGTAATGTTTCAGAGTGTGCAGATCTGGTGTCTGGCGTGTTGCAAAGAGAATTTGAAAAGCTAAACAAAATGGGCCTGTGCCCAAATGCATGACATCGAGCCCTTGTTGGCTAAGAGACTTCTATTGAGTTTGGGCCTACGTGCCCCATTAATTAAAACTTTTGCAACCTTGCCTTCTGCACCGTTGAAATTACTACCTACCATCTTCTTTTCTTTTTGAAAAGTTCTCAAAATATTTTTATAACCTATACACTGTGAGTATAAATTTTTTTTATACTGGCAACTAATTATATCTTTTAGTTGTGTCATGTCATTATAAATACATTTATTTTTAACAGTAATATGACATAAATAAAAGATATAATTAATTGTCAATGTAAAAAATCTTTACACTAGTAATGTATAAGTCATTAACTCTATCTTTATACCCTCCCCTTTTACTTCCCCACTTCAGCATTCATTATTTTCTTACTTCACCTTCTATCCTCATGATCTTCATCTACATAAAGAAACGTGTTCCGAATTAAGTTTTTTGGAATATAATTTATGCATTTCAAAATAAGTGTTTCAGAGCATAAATTAATCTGGATTTTTTTTTCCCGTTTTATGTTCTAGATTAGTTAATCAAAAAAGTCGTACTTACTGGAGTTTCTTTGCTCAGTCTAGAATAAAATGAGTAAAAAAAATATACCATTTTCTTTAGCCTTTAAAGTATTTAATAATTCCTTAATTATTAGTTGTAATTTTTTTAATAATAGTCAACATTCATTTTCTTTGAAATTTTGGATTAACTATAAAAAGACATATTTTCATTTTAGATTAAGTATTTTGAACACATTTATAAATTTTTGATGAATGTTTCTAGACATATTTGGATTGAATGTTTTGACGTCCTTTATCACACATATATAGATAAATTTAAAATTTCTTAATATATTTATAAAAATTAATCTAAATCTGCATAAATAATTCAAATTAAATCTCTAACATAGGGTAAGAGTATCACATAACAAACTCCCTACTAAGTGAAAACATAAAACTAAACTTTAATCCTATCATAAGAATTAACAAAAATATTATTCATAATCCAAGTCTTGATATCACATGACTTACTAGAACACTCCTAAAATAAGGATTATGTCTTGTCATCGACATCATCAAGATCCTGATAAACATTACTTACCACAACATTCATACAACCAAGACATGAAAACAAAGAGAGTGAAAAAGCTTCTCACTCTAGCTCATGACATAGAATAAGGGATAATAATAAAACACAATTAATATATTATTAATACAATAACATTAGTAGATATTTATCATTATCAAATAACTCATACATCACCATCCACTACAAGAAAAATGTAAATTTTTGACGGAAAATTTCTGACGGAATATTCCGTCGGAAATTTCCGACAGATTTATTTCCGACGGAATTTTTCGTCGAAAATCTTATGTTTAATTATTATTTTTTATTTTTATTTTTAATTTCTTTTTTTAATTTCTTATTTTTAATTTCTTATATATATTTGTAGTATTAAAAATTTTATATATCTTTTAAAGGTATAAATATATATTATAATTATTTATTACAAGTTTTTTATATCTACGATTAGTATTAAAGATGAAAATAAATTAGGTTATACTATATTTTATTATAATTTACTTGGTTTGAACCTAACTTTCTTTAAAAATATATATTTTAAGTGTGACTTATTTATCTATCATAGATAATTTTTAAATATTTGGGTAGAACTACAAT